CTTTCCCTAATAGGCAGCCATTTGAGAACTGCACTAGCTGACAGAGCACTGAAACATTATCAGCTAAAGCCAAAACCAAATAAAGGCCCAGAACAAACATCCTGGCTCTCTAAAACCTGTCCAAAATCATTAAGGGAAAGGCAGTAAATGCAGGACTGTGTATCATGTCACTGCAGCTGACAATGATTAACAATAGGAAACATGCAACCCCCATTAAGGTTAAAAGTCCAAAACTAGTCACACGCATCTCTTTATTGGGGAAAAGTGAAACTATTATGCATTCTTTGCAGGTTTTGCAACCTTATGTGAAGAGCACCCATTGCATTTCTTTCATCTTTCATAAAGCACCGGTACCTGTTCCAAGGGCCTAACAGTACGAAAATGCATTCTGGCATCACACCTCTGAACTTCCAACCACTCATTAAAAATAATTTTGGTTTGTAACAAGAAAAGACTATGAAATACAATGCGAGCACCTCGGTATATAGAGTTATTACTGAAACCCATTTATCCCCAGCTTTTTGACTGAGTGATTTTTTTTTTAAGACCCTCTGCACTAAGATTCACAAATTACAGCTACATACAAATCAAAACTAGTAAGAATTGACTAAAGTCACAGGTTTCTCATCGAAAGTGCAAAAGCCTATTCATCGAGATAAGCAGAATGAAGCAAAATTACCCCCCCACCCCAATGATGTCCATATATTGTAACAAGTACATTCTCTCAAAATTGTTATTGACTGTTAAGAAACAAACCTGCGCTTTTATTTCTAAACAATCACTGAACCACGGTAGCAAGTGCTGGCCACCGACTTAATGGATTATGCCACAGGAAAACCCCATCAGGGATGCATGCCAATTTAGTGACACTCTTGTCACTAATACTGAGCATTATGTTTGATGTGCACTGTATTACTAATATAGAGAGCTAAACTAGTTACCATTTGCTTTCATCTAGCAGGAGAGTCAAGTCATTTGGTTGAATGGACTACGTATTAAAGTACAAATTTGTCCCCACCTTGTGAATCGCTTGCCAAAGAACAAGCCATTTGTCTTGATACAATGAAAGAAAATTCTCATAGTCATGAAGAGTTTTACCAACATTTATGCAAAATAAACCAAACTTTCCAGTTACAGAGCAGAAAACATTATACACGAAAGCTGTTTCTCATGCATGCTAGCTAAAAACCAGTTCATAGACCAAAGTTCAGTTGAATTGAGGTCTGGAACAACAGTCGATGCAAAGCTTAAATCCTAAGCAACAAAGGAAGGTGCTTTTGAAGACTTACTGTTTTGGTAGTCGAACAGTTTGGATTGTAACATCACATCCCTAAAGCTAAGGGAACCAAATTCAAAAAGCTACTCTGAACATTTGCAGTTATCCTACAGAATACGACGAAGTCTTATGATTGGGAAATGATTCCCAACATTTATTCAATAGGCAAGTCAACATGCCACACCACTTTCCCCCAGGTTTAGAGTATAAACATATTTAGACAAATCACAGAACTTGAACTATTCATGTTAGATTCCCATCTATGCCCCAAGTTAGTAACAGAGGTGTTCCGATGGAGCCCATTTAAAAAAATTTTTAAATCACATTACAAAAAAAACTGTACTTTTAGTCTTAATTCACTCAACCTGCAGAGTAATTACCAAGATTACACTCAAGCTGATATTGCTGACCTATGAGCAGGTCAGTTTGCTACAACAGAAACTAATTATCACATGCTATACAGTCTGTGTCAAGATGCTTAAAAAGCACTCTTACTTCCGAAGTATGGTATGGTCCCCTCCCCCACACCACTGATGTGTTTCATGTTATCTTCAGTTACAATGCAACTAAAATCCACACAACTGAATCAGATATACCAAATAATCAAGTTTGCACTTTTTATCTGAGAACTGCAACAGCACTGAATTCTGCCTGACAAATTACAGCTCTAAACCCAAACCCACGCAGTTTTGATATAAGCTAGCTTTATCATACAGGTGTTAGGTGCTGCACTGTAATTTCATTGTCAGAAGTATGATGTCAGAATGCCCACGGAATAAAAGTACATAGCAAGTCACCAAGTTAGATTATATTGCTTGTTACCTACCTGTATGCAGTCGGCAATGAGAATCTCGGAGCAAGCAGGAATACTACATCCGGGTCCTAATGTCCATTGCCATTTGCGGTACTACGTTCCTCACAGTTACGCACTGCAGAAATGCTGGCTAAATGCAGTTATGTAGCAGGCCACTACTTTAATAGTGCATAATTGCAGTCCAAGAACACCAGAAAATATTCCGCCACAACTTAGTGGCTTGCCCAAGAAAAGCCAAGTATCTAAATTTTTATCTGCCATAATATGCCACTTATAAAAATTGCACAGGCGTAACATTACAATTTCCCAAATTATTATGTTTATATTAGTGGTATAATACATCTAATAAAGAGTGGTGGGGCTTATAGTATTTCTTAGAAGTTTACCTAAGCAAAGAGGATTATGGTTTCACTAGACGTTGAGCCAATGGGTTAAGTTTCTAAAACACCTATTAAATACACTGGGATCTCTTAGAGAATGCAGTTTTTAAAGATTAGGAATTATAAGAGGAGTAATAAGTTTAAAAACAATCAGTGTTCCTCTTAAAACAAAATTATGAGAGAAAGTGGAGAAGAGGAAATGGGGGCAGGTGGTTTCTTTAAATGAGAAAATTGGCTAAAATACTTCAAAAGTACTACTTTCCCTTTCCCACCCCAAGTTTCATAAATCAGCTTTTAGGAATCTACTTTTAAAGATGATTCAAATTCCCATTAGGCTAAAAACTATCATATACATTCCAAGACTTGTTGAAAGTCTATTTGAGTAGCTTACGACCCTTGGTACACTGCTGTTTCAGTGATTAAAGTCAAAACTTAGTTGAAACTAAGCAACATTACTTGCTAAACAACGTTTAGCAATTCTACACAATAAGGCTATCAAAACCACAACTTTCAGGAGATTATCCATTAGCATCCTTCACCACTCTTCAAAGGTACAGTACTACCAAAAGCTTATTTTAGGGGTCTGTGCCAGCATCCCTTATAAAGAAAGGCATGTAATCTGAAAAATAAACTGAAACATTAATTTTATAGGCAGATTTTTCCATTTCCCCACCAGCCCCCGCCCACACATTCAAGTTCACCCTCTGTGGGTGTCCCATGAACACCCCTTATTTTCGTATCATTAGTGGAGTCCCTACCATACAATTCAATCAAATTGTAATGGACTCCTTTCAAATCAAGACCCTTGTTTCCGGTACAGAAAATCTCATACATTATCACCAATTAAAAACTTGACTTGGGACAAAACTTCCTCATTGATATAATAATGGTAGAACTACTCATTTCCAAGTGTCTTGGTGAACAGAAATTATGAACATTTTCTAATGAGATTCTCTCCCTTAATTAGCACACCAGGTACCTGTCAGTCACACAACCAGAATTCGGTGGCATGCCTTTATACTCCACTAGTGTTTTACTTTTAGTATTAAGAGGTTTCCTATGCACAAGTGCTCAATTGTTTCAACAACAGGTTTCCCTCTGTACTCAGGCACAATACTAAGCCTTCAGTATTTAAACAAAGATTTGGTTTAGAATTTTACTTTTGCCAATTAACACCAACAGAGGTGAAAAGGAGGAAGACACATTCCATAGTAAGAGTTCTATAATGTACAAATTTGAATGGAAACATAACTAAGAACAAAGCCAAACCATTCAGTTACCTTACCTACTACTTTTAGGAAGTTATTCCTCTGCTAACGATATAAACATGGGAAAGCAGGTTCCCATTGTACTAACAGACAACAGTAACAATCTATTTTATTAATAAGTCAAAATGTCTCTAATGAAAGGAGATTCAATGAAGTTGACGATAAACTGACAACACCATCGAAAAGCTCCAAAGCTTTATGGTGGGAGGAAGGGATATTTGTACTGTGTAGCACGAACAACTCTCCAGATTTAGTGCTACATCAAAAGGAAACTATGGAAAAACAGGTTAAAAATATTTCACAGTAAGTATAGTTCTCTGCAACCCTATTTGTTATTAAGTCACTACCAGCTCTTAGAGAAGAAGTTTTTTTATAGTCCTACAGAATTTTGCCCAACAGAAGTACCACAAGGAGATGTAAAAGTTACAGAGTACAAATGTACACATAGCCAAACCTACTTTATGATGACTATACCTTACTTTCGAGTTTAATTATTCAGACTAAACCCCATCCTTATAAATCACTTGAAGTAATACATGAAAAGACTTCATGTTTAACAATCTTTAATTCAAATGTGAATGTTCAATACAAGCCGTTCGTAGGGCTTGGGACTCGTTCTTTAAAAAACAAGAATGGAGGAATGCAACAAAATGATCTTTCCACTTGTTCTTCAGAAACTTTCAAGGAAAGGATAGATCATAGGGCCATAAAAGATCCATTTAAGTCATACCCACTTTCTCCCCCTACCAATAGTCTTACACCCATTCCATAATCTTAATACATATTCCTGAATGAAGATTTACAGTTCAGCTTTGCTTACATAGCCATTTGAAAATACTGAGCACCGGCTTGCTTCCTATAATGCCAAACAAATCAAATCATGAAACTACTTCAATATGCATTTCTTCTTTTTAAAACAAGGGGGAACTTAAATGTAGAAAGCAATACTTAGCCTACAAATACATTTCCCAGAAATGGCATATGCCATTCAAAGGCCTAAACACTCTTATGCTTTCCAAGTGGAATACCTAGCCTAATGCGCATAGAAGCATGAATGGCAAAGTTGAAGATCAAAATCTTAACTATTTTTTCTATTTATTTGAAGCACAGTAAAAAAAAAAAAAAATTGGTACACTTTGGAAATCAGTGGCACAAGGTACACTGCCATAAATTGAGGGACATTATACAGTTAAAAAAAAAAAAAGGAAAAAAAGGAAAAAAAAATTCCCCTGTTTCAAACACTGCATTACATAATTTTACCTGCCCAAACAGACCATTTACAAATATTAGGTCAATAAACTGCTAACATCCATAAAAAGGTAGCTTTCTTACTAAAATGCAAGAATTTAAAAGATTGGTATCTAAACAAGAAAAGACAAAAACAAACTGGAATGAAAGCCTAGATATCACATCTAAAATCGGGGTTTTTTGTTTGGGCCTTCATACTCTTCTCTCCCTCTACCATATCCTGCCGGAGTTCCAGGCCCCATTCCTCTAGGACCCTGTCCACCCACAGGTCCCGCACCTCCCTGCCCAAAGCGCTCAGTACGCTATTGGAACAGTTAAGTAACAGTTCATTATATGTAGTTGATGTCCATGTGTGTTAAGTAAATATTTTAGAAGGTTCCGTAGTCAACGTTCGTCGATACAATCACCAATGAGTCGATCCACAGGTACCGGGAACATAGAAAGGAAAAAAGGGTAATTTGAAAATTAGTTTACGATAATACATGCCTTGTGGTATGTTCCCACTTGAGCCATTCTCATACACCTGTTTCAAAGAATAGATCTTCCCTGTAGTGCTAAAAAATTTAAGAATTAGTGCAGATGTGAAAACCCATTCCAAAATGAGTTTTAAGAAATTTCACATCAGATTAACCCACTGAAAAGCTTACACACTTCTCACTTTCAAGGTCTGAACAGGAAATTTAATTTCCAAGTAAGCCTAACAAGCCCAACCAGACAGATTCAATTCACTCAATGAAGTGACAAAGACCTACTCACCAGTTAGTGGTATGTGCTGCATAAGAAACCTTGTGCTTTTCAAGATCTTAAGACACATCTGCTAAGTTGCAGAAATCTTAAAAGGTTCAAAGTTTTAATAAAATGCTACCAGACTACAAAAAGAAAAAGAATAAAAGACTAATAGATTTAGTCACTTAACCGGCACAGTAACTTGATTTAAAAGTGTGTTGCCATATTCTCACAGGTATACCACCTTCAGAGCCATCACTGTATAACCAGAGACAATTATGTTCACAGTACTGTTCTCTATAGTTGCAAATTGACTGAATATACAGCCCACCCTCATAACAGCCCAACTTTCCCCTTAGGTCTGTAAAAAGTCCACTGACAGTTATGATTCCGTGTTTTGGGTATCTCCCAAACAGCATTAACACCAAGCTTAAGTGACTGCAATAAAGCAGGACTTCATTATTCCATCTAGTTTTAGGTACTTCTAGTCCTAGAAACCTATGTTCTCAAACAGAAAAACCCTACAGATATGCAAAAGCACAGCAGCCTGAACTATCTTTCAAATTCTATTTAAAAGAGACCAGTTATTCTGCGTATTGCTAGGAAAAAAACAAAACCCGAAAACCAGAACAAAACCCCCCCAGAAACTAAAACGGCATGAGGGTTTAACTGTTCCTATAAATGATTTCAACATGCTTCCTACAAAATACTATAGGGTTACTATAAAAAGACTAAATCCTAATCCTTCAAACTATTTCAAAATCCTAAAATTCTTAGGTTTTCAGCGCGTTGTATTGTACGTTTTATCTCAAAAAAGGTAAAGAGGAAATTTGGGGGTTTTACAATTATGTTATTACAGTATCTTAGAACCCAGGAGCTACATGTCACATGGACTACAGAATCTTAACTGTGGGAACATCATGTCAAATTAGTCACAAATTTGATACATACCTACACCTGCCTATTAAGAAGGATATAAACCAAAATGTTACCCACATTATTTTTACAATTCAATTTGAAGAAAGCTAACAGCACTACGTTTAACCCAACCGGCTACTTATGATTCTAATTCTCAAAAACCTTAAGTAGAGTTTAAATAGATGAGGCCCCATTTCTAAATCCTTATGTTATTTGTAAAATGAACCTAGTGAGCTATATGCTGCAGCTTCCCTCCTTTGCCAAAAGCCTGTATGTGAACTAATCAGATTCAATTCAGTTGTGACAATGTACTTTTCTCCAAACCCACCTCTACGGCCAATACTCAGTTCTTCTAAGGATTGTAAAGTCCTAATACAGCCACTCAGACCAACTCACTTGGTTGTTCTAAAGTATCCTGACAGGCTATCTGTACAGCTAAAATATGACAGCATCAAGAAGGTTCAGATCAAATGCACACAACTAGTATGCTTAAAATTATCATTGACTTTTGCTACCCTGTAGCGAAACAGAGATGTCAGTTTATTTTAGAAGGTACACCTATAGACAGGCCCAACAGGTGGGAAACGACGAGTCCGAAGACTAAACAATTCCTTTTTCATGGGTAGAAGTCACACCAAATATAGGTCAAAGTCCTACACATTGCTAAAACATGCCTAAAGCTACAAACACGTCTGATTCACACTTTTGGCAAATACCAGCTTAACGAATGACAGCTTGCCATTTGATTACTTTCAAGTGGATGTAGAATAATGTTACATTATCTAACATTTAGAATTTGGATTTGCCATGAGCTATAGTGCAAAAGTACACAAGCAATATAATGGAAAGCACCTAAGTCTACTTATTGCCAAAGATAATTCCAACATACTACTAAAAGCATTGACTTTTTGTTGGCAACCTTATCTGTTTAGGTTACCACATTGAGTTCTTCTATGTTGCCAAAGTATTCCTCAATACTACGATTTACATGATAGGGGAACTAAAAGAGGTCCAGTCACCTACTTAAAAACAAAAACAAAAACAAAAAAACACACACACATAAGTTGTGAAAACGAGAATTTCCTTTTGAACTATGTCCCACAGGATACATTACCATGTCGCTTCCCATCATGGAACCACTCATTGTTGCCGGTGGAACTCCAGGATTAGCTTCATAACCTATGCCACCACCACCACCTAGAGGTGGAAATTTCTGGCCTCCTGAACCATAGGGATCTAGGAAACAAAAATGCTGGTTACAACTCAACCAGAATACTGCTCTTCAGTGGTATTACTAATTTAATTTTCATTCTTACCTCCCATGTTCATTGCTCCTCCACCACCCATTCTCATGTCTCTTTCTCTCTAAAAGAAAAAAAACCTGTTCATACACCTGTACTAAACCCATACCAAGCATTCTTGAATACAAAAGAATTTCCAAAGCTTTAAAATAAATTGTTTTTCAACTTAAGGGAAAAAAACAATAAGGTAATTTTAAAAATCAGTATTCTGAAACCAGGTGAGACTCCATTATCAAAAGACCTATAAAGCAAGCTTCTTCCCAACCAATGAAATCTTTTGGCCCACCCAAGGAAAAGATAAAACTCAAAGGAAAAGGCATATCAATCATAATACACCACTTGGGTTAAAAAGAGAAAAAATGGCAGAATGGCTATAATATGAAAGGTTATATTTAACTGAATAAAATTTCATCGTAGATGTCTACAAACTTTGTAGAAAACTCCAATTATACCACAAAAGAAGTTTACTTACCGGATCCATGTAGCCCATCCGGCTATAACTTTCCTCTCTTTGGCGTCTCATTTGTTCTTCCATCTCACGTTGACGAATCATCATCTCTTCTTCCCTCCTACGTCGTTCCTCCTCTTGCCTAGAAACATTCATCAAACATAAAAACTAAAGTTTTATCCACATTTTAAAAATTCAATTTGAAAAAAACTAGTAGTTTGCTTAAGAGCATTACAAAGTCTAGGTCACAGCAAATACACACAAAGGCTGGGACAGTGACTAAGAATAGCCCTAAAGGTATTTCAGCAAAGTAAGTGAGCCTTATAACAAAAATCTTACACTCTATTTCAATTTAAGCATTAAACCAACGCTGCCATAGTATTTAACACCTCTGTATTTCATCTGACTCACCTGCAAAATTTAGGTACATTTAACGCAGAAGCAAAGACTTAATTTAACAAGATTTTACCTTAATTGCATCTCTTTACGTTTCTGCATTTCTTGATTGTGAAGTTCTTCCATGCGTCTTAATTCTTCCTGGCGTCTCATCAGATCTGAACATTGGAAAATTTTGTCATACATTCACATTAATGAAATGCTAGTAAGTTCAAAAGGCAAACGACCCTAACGGTAATATTTCACAAGAGAGTCCTTTACCTTGACGCAAAAGATTTGCCTGATGCTCATGATAGGCATCTTCCATTTCACTTTCCAATTTGTCTTTTGCATCTTTCATGTTTTTTTCAACTTGTTCCCGCTGCTGTTTTTCCATTTCATCCAGGGACTTCCACCTCTGAGAATACTCATACTCAAATGTGCCATGCTGGGCAAAACGAGGAGGGGTTTCTCTCTCCCTGACAATATTTAAATATGAACCAATTTATAGATGCACACAAGAAATATATCTGATTTCCCTTAAAAACACTGGTTACTTCACTGGCCTGTTACTGCTAAGAAATACTGAAAGGTACAGATCACCTTAATTCTTAATAAGGTATTTTTACCGCAAAAACAATACATGTTCCAGAACGATAAAGTCAACAGTAACGTGGGCCCTGAAGATAAATCCTACCTTCCTCACTTTCTAACTCGTTTCCCTAGCCAAATTCTGATTCAAGGAATATTTTTTCAACCCTTAAAAATGAGGATACCGGGCTTCCCTGGTGGCACACTGGTTAAGAACCCGCCTGCTAATGCAGGGGAAACAGGTTCAAGCCCTGGTCCGGGAAGATCCCACATGCCGCGGAGCAACTAAGCCCGTGCACCTCAACTACTGAGCCTGCACTCTAGCACCCGTGAGCCACAACTACTGAGCCCGTGTGCCACAACTACTGAAGCCTGTGCACCTAGAGCCTGTGCTCCACAGGAGAAGCCATCACAATGAGAAGCCCACGCACCGCAACAAAGAGCAGCCCCCACTCGCCGCAACTGGAGAAAACCTGCGTGCAGCAACGAAGACCCAACACACACAAAAATAATAATAATAAAAAAAGAGGATCCCTGTAACACATCCTAACTACTATTAAGAACAAAACAAGAATGCATGTGAAATATACCTACCCCAGAAACAACACTAGGTATTTGAGTAACTGCTTCAAAACCTCTAGCTTTCTGAGCCTGAGGTTTTCATTATGCCCATCCATTTCAAAGAACTTTGCATATTTTAAGCAAAATTGAAAAATTACTGTAGCAAGTTCTCGTTTACACTTAAATTAAGAACTGCCCAAAGTTCAACAGATCTTACTTTTGATACATTGGATTCTTCTGTGCAAGTTTTTCAGGAAGACCATCTTCATCATCTAACTGTTCAAGGGGTTCCACAATGACTGGACGAGGAGTTCTAACAACAAAAATGGTTCCATCTTAATTTTGTTCCAGTTTCATTGCATTTTCTTCATACAAGTTAATAAAAGTTATTCGAATAAACATAAAAACTTACGTTGTTAGTAAGAAAACACCTTCACTGCATCTTTCAAATGCTTTTCTTGCTGCTGGTTTAGAAGCAAATTCAACAATGCCTTTCCCTGTAGATCTTCCACGATCATCCACAATTACAACAGCCCTTTCAATAGGACCAAACTGACTAAAGGCTTCTTCCAACAGTTCATTGGAAACATAAGGTGAAAGATTTCGAACAGAAAGGGCAGCAGCATGTGTGGCAAATCGAACCCGAAGCTGTCTACCTCTCATGGGTGTATCATCAAGTTCAGCTTTAGCAATTTCAGCTAATGCTCTAGATTCCTGAAAGCATCAAGACATAGTCATGTTAATGACCTCAAAACTGGCTACTGCCCACCCTAAAATTGCCATAAGCCTAACTCCGGATCCTATTCTTCTGACAGCTCTCAGCTCAACTATCTCCAGGCAGCACACCGTGACACCATTCAGGGGAGGGAGGTAAATACCTTACCCACCCACTCCCTTCCTTTCTTAGATACCAACAATTATGCCCTGTACAGCAGCTGCAACTTTTGTGTGAGTGATGAAAAATTTAAAAACTCATTTATTCTTGTTGGTTTAAAAAACACTATGTTTGTTGTAGGAAAAAAAAGACCCTTTTAATTCCACCAAAAAAAAAAACAAACAAAAACAAAAAAACTCACAAGCTTAATAAATCCAAATCCTTTGCCTTTGTTGATAAAAACTTCTCCTGGTTCTCCATATTTAGCAAATAATCTTTTGAATTCATCCTCCGTGATATCAGCAGGTAGATTACCAACAAACAACCGACAACGCTGCGTGTAAGTTTTCTCTCCAGGCCTCCTCAAGAGAGACAAGTTGGCTTTAAACCCCTAGTGAAAAAGGAAAGGAATTTTCAGATACCAGTTACTTCCGCAAATAGGAAGACCCAATAATAATTTTCGTTTTTCCCAAACTGGGTATGTTACAGTCAAGTTGCTCTCCTGTTCTATTTAAAGTCAAAGATGCTACTACATTTACGGGATTTCCAATGTAATTAGTCCGAACATCAAAGTGCCTAAACCATCCAGAACACTCTCGAGAACAGCCACAAACCTCTCTATAGAGTAGACTCTATATCAGGAACCTCGTCAGCGGTTTATGCTAAGTGTCAAAATCAAAATCATAGTGGACGAAAGTTAAAATGGTGGTGGGATATTAAACAAAGAAAACGACCAAAATTCCGTTGTCGACAAGCCCTGGGCCTGCGCGTGTAAGACCAGGACTACCTCGATCTCTCCAATCCTACATTTCACGCTATACTCCACCCTATTCTGGCTCCCAGGATCCACTAACTTTAACAAGGCCCATCATAGCTTCTCAGCGCCTCCTTCCGTCAGCTCTCCGCCAGCCGGGAGGCCTACACCGGGGCGGGCAGCTGGCAGACCCGAGCCGTTCACCCCTCACTCCAGCAGCCGGCCCCGCCCCCACCCCCGCGCGCAGGCGCCCTTTCCGGTCTCCAACAAAATGGAGGGCGGAAGGGGGGGGCCGCCGCCATCTTAGGGAAACCGACCCATAGCGCAGGGAGACACTCACCTCGGAGTCAGAGATCTTCTCCTCGCTGCGGCCCCCGGGCCCGCCGGGCGGCGGCCCTTGGTGGTGCTGCTGGTGGTAGGGCGGGTGGTGTTGCCGGCCCCCGCGGGGCTCCCCGCCGCCTCGGTGCGGCGGCTTGGGGTGGCCGCCAGGAGTGCTTAGGCCCGGGCCGCCGCCGGGCTTCGGCCCGCCTGGCATTTTGCCGCCTTTGGGGCCGCCGGCTCCTGGGCCCTGCTTAGGCCCGGGGCCCGG